CATTCTGCATTTCTTGTGCAGATTTTGGAGTTGGTCCCAGTGGCGTACCATAGACGTGCTCAGATTCAGCTACTCAGAGGAGACTTGACGTATAACTGCACAGCGTTTGCAGTTCTGAAGTCCCCTTCTATCTTATCTTAGCTGTGTATTATCTTTCAAATAGCTTGAATATTATTCAGACCTTTATTTGTATTATTCTAGTACTTCTTGCACTTGTGACACCCGATTCGGGGATGTATTTTGATAATTCGGTATTTATGGTCTTCCGCACTTTATTTCAGTAATTGACTTCTATTAAATTAAATTTGCTTTAAAATAGTTAAGATTATTTTAACGTTGACTTGTCTAGCAAGTGAAATATTAGGCGTCATCACGATTCTGAATGTGGAAATTTCGGATCGTGACACGTACCCATACTATCAGATAGTAAAATATCAATGTCATTCTAAAAGAATAGAGATAAAGCTAATTATTGCATGATATTATTTCATTGACACCGTGACATCAATATGTTTTGTTGCCTTATGAATTGTCGTAAGTTTTGTGGTTTTCATGTTTCTATCATTTTCTATGATATTTTGCTTTTTCCAAGTAAAATGAGATGTCCCTAGTCCGTTAAATACCATCTCGACGCGTATCAAAATACCTCAGTTCTAAGTTCCCCGGGGCCAACAACTAATTATTGAGTTCTAATCAATGTGAGTATGCAAGAACTTGCCTAATCTTAGGTAAAACATATGGGAGAAAGCAAACAAAAAAAAAAGTAAAGAAAAAAAGGCAAGAAAATAAGTCTTCTAAAGAGTCCAAATAGAAGTATCTTCAATTATAAAGTTTATCTTTCTAAGCAAAAAAAAAAAAAAATTCATTCCGTAATAATACCAAGGAAAATACAGAAAGCTATTGTGGTCATGCTTTCTTCTTTTTATTTTCTTCAGAGTTTCCTTTGGTTCTTATTGACAAAAGTAGTCTTGAAGGGTGTGTCAAGTAGTACTAACTTATAAAAAATTCTCAAAGCCAAAGTGAAAAGAAAATTACAATAGACAATGAAAATTTAAAAAACTAACATGAGAGAATGAAAATGAAGAAACTAACACAAAAATAGTGACCTTTATTGCATAAGGTGTTGGGAGGACACCAAGCAGTGAGTACTTTAGAGAAAAAAAAAATTATTAGTCGACAAAAGACAAAAGATAAAACTGATGAGTTACAGTGCTCCTATCTGCATTTTATAGAATCTAAAAAGAATATGAAAAGTCTTAACAGATGGAAGCTAAAAGAAGAGAACATAAAAAAGAGTACGAACAAGCTCATAAAACTTCTACATAAAAGCTGAAACGATTACAATAAATTCGATACACATGATTCAAAAGTTATTTAAATTCTTACTTATAACGCATCTAACCACCGTCTTTGATGCTAAAAGCTTGAAGAGAGGTTTTTTTAAGGTCAAGGGCAAAATGGTATATCAACTATTAAAAGATATTATGGTAAATCAATTTTATCTAAAAGTGTTCGCACTTATAACATAGTATGATATGATAAAGAGGCTTAAGGAGTAACGGCTTAACGGGAGGTAGAGGTGTACAAAGGAAACTGACAAGCCGCACTAAACCGATAATCCGAGTCAATCCGAGAAAAAAACTGAATTATAGTTTGGTTTGATTTTGTTTGGTATTAGAAAAAAATCCGACCAAAATTGGTTTGGTTTGGTTTGGTTTTAACTAGAAAAAGTCAAACCGAAATCAAACCAACCCAACATTACATGTATACAAGTTTTAAAAATATTTATACATAAAAATAATTATTGTAATGTAATTTATAAATATTTTATAAACTTTTTCATAGTTCTCTCTTTTAATGTATTATTTAAGCTAAGACTTAGATTTTTTAAGTGGTCAAATATATTTTATAACCCATAAAAGTTAGTAACTAAAATAAAGCCCAAAGCAAAATCAAATCAATACTAATGCTTAAAAAAAATCAATCAATACTAGGAAGTAAGAATGACAATAGTATTGTATATTTATTTTAGTTTTGCGTTGGTTAGATAGTGAAAATGCATAACATAATTTTATCATTATTTAGTCATGTAAGTAATACTTAGTACTTATTTTAGCATGACTTAGTAATTTTAGATTATGTTTATTTTTATTATAGCTTATTAATTAGCAATATTTATTTTATGCGACTTGTTGAGTTTTTTCCAATAATCATGACTCTTCTCACATTATTTTGTATTATTTTCTTGTAAACCATCTTATATAGTTTAATCCTACTAGGACCTAAAAAATATTAGAACACAAATTATATATTTTATGCTATGAAGATTTTATTGAAAGAAATCCGAAAAATACGAAAAAATTGAAAAATTCGAGAAAAATCAAGATTGAAAACCCGACTTTTGTTGGTTTGGTTTGGTTTATAAATTTAAAAATCTTGAGATAATTGGTTTGTTTTGTTAATTGAAAAACCTGAACCAACCCGACCTATGTACACCCTTAACTGGAGGGATTGGCCCCTTCAGTTTATGATATGAAACGAACACAACATATGTTAGATGTGTATATAAGTTAAATATTAAGGTTATACTGAAAGTGTGTAAAAATTTACACATCAGTGTGGTTTAACATATTGTAGTAGGTAACTTACCATTTTTTTCTAGATTACCAACCAGTATAACGCACAAAGTAGTACATATAATTGGATTTCATGTAATTTGATTGTGTAAAAATTACTACACTATTAGTTCATAGAGCTTAAACTCGCAAGTTAAATTTCTTTTGATTTTGGCCAATTTCAATAATTGATGGACTGGCTTTTAGGACTTTTTTAGTTGGATTAAGATCACGTTGGGCCTTTTACGTCTTGGTCTAGTTTTCCACTAATAATGAAAATCTTTACACAAATAGTCGTTCATATTCATTATTTAGTTTTTTAGTCACATATATAATTTATACATTAATTATACATAATTATACATATAAAGTACATAAAATATGTAAATATTATATCTCCACTGACTATTTTTAATTTATGCAGTTGAGTGGACGATTATTTGGGTTAATTCTTCTAGAATTGGATTCGGAAACGTGAGCTCTCGATTCGTAGCGTTTGTTTGGCCCATATAGATGGCCCGCAAATTGGTCCAACGTTCTGGCTCTTATTTTTCTCTCTCCTTTTCTTTTCTACATTCGATTCTCTTCTCTTTTTAAGGATAATACTCTCTTCGTTTCAATTTAGATGAGCTAGTTTGACTCGACACAGAATTTAAGGAAAAAAAAGACTTTTGAAACTTGTGGTCTTAAAAGCTTAAGGGGTAAAAATTTTGTGGGGTCATGACATTTATGTGGTTATAAAAGCTTCTCATTAAGAGTAACAACAACAACAACAGCAACAACGATCCAGTAAAATCCCACTAGTGAGGTATGAGTAGGGTAGTGTGTATGCAAACCTTACCTCTACCCCGAAGTAGTAGAGAGGTTGTTTCCGAAAGACCATCGGCTCAAGAAGACAAAATGAGACAATATCAGTACCACCACAAAGATCATAAGACATGAAAACCAGATCGAATATAGATGCAAAGCAAAAGCGATAGCCAATAAATAGACATGGCACTATGAGAAACGAAAGAGTAGTAAGACACAACATGTAAAAATTATAGAAATGTGTCATTCTTTTTGGAACAGACTAATAAGAAAAGTGTGTCATCGAAATTGAAACAGAGGGAGTATAATTTAAGAATAAAAGGAAAGAGAAACAAAATAGAAGTAAAAAAGAAACAAAAGCAAAAATAAGTGAAATAGAACAAGAAAATTTACCAAGAGATGAAGTTGAATTCTGATCGAAATTACGAAGTAGACATCGTTATTTTCATTTTTCAAAATTCAGTGTCAACCCACTAGGAAGTAAAAGAATTCTTTATTGTGAGTCCATTACTCAAATGGTCACTTAACTATCCGAAATTACCTAAATAAAGTCATGTTTATTTTGTTTGTAACAGCAATGTCACTTAACTATACCTATAGCACTCAGAAGGTCACTTGACTAGATTTCTCAAACTTTTGATTGTCAAATACCTATTTTACCCTCTAAATTATTAACTTTTGTCTTCTTTTTCTTTTCTTTTTTAACTTTTTAATATTGTAATCTTTTTTAATTTATATTATAGTCTTACCTATAGAATAAATAAATTTTATTTATAAATTAAAAATATTCAACATATATAATGTTGGAATAATAAAATACTAAGCATAGTAAAAAAATTAATTAGAACAATTTGCTCGTAATAATAATTTTGATATTAACAACAAAAACTCAAAGATTTATTTACACAATTCAAAATGAAAGAAAATAAAAGTTTTAAAATATATATTCCATGCACGTAACTATAAAAATAAATATTTAAAATAAAAATATTTTTATAATATACATTATATATTCTTAAAAATTATGCTCAATTATATTATTATTCCGATTATATGCTAGAAAACTATTTTTTTATTTTTTATTTTATAAATAAAACTTATTCGTTCTATAGGTAAGTCTATAAAATTGATTAAAAAAAGTAAAAAAAAATTATAATATTAAAAAAAGTAAAAGAAAAAGAAGATAAAAGTTGATAATTTAGAGGGTAAAATAAGTATTTGACATTCAAAAGTTTTAAAAATCTGGTTGAGTAACCTTCTGAGTCATATAGGCAGAGTTAAATAATTTTTCATTTACATCGAAAGAAAAATAACTTTAGTGGAATAACCGTTTTGCGGAAAGTCAGAACCTGACGGGTGGACTTGGAACAGTATTGGCCACTATCTTAATTACCAGAGACAAATAGGACGGTTATAATTTTTTAGAGCATCTCAATTGTTGGATACGTAATAAGTTTACAAACTGATTAATCAAAAATTCAAAATATGATGATGTAAATCAAGGAAAAGAATAATACAATCAAAAAAAATATTTGAAGATAAAAAATAAAATAAAAAAGCTTCTTTGATCAGTAGATACAGAGAACATTACTTCACAGTTAACATCTTAAAATAGTTAAATGAAAGATAAATGAACAATTGAATTCTAAGGCCATATGCCTTGCAGCTGCCCTTTTCCCTTAATTCCAAATTTTCCCCTTTACCTTTTCTTTTGTCCTTGAAATTCTTTGCTGCCAAGAGAAAAAAAAAGATTCTCTAATTGTTAAAATATTTTGATAATATAAACCATCTTCTTGAAGGATTGGAAGCTATAAATCGGGGAGACAGTCAAGCAAATGGCTTATATGATTCTGAGAGTCATCGCGATTCAATAATGGAGGATTAGTGAAAGAATGAGAAAGTGGCTCAATCAATGTGTCAAAATTCTTCCAATCATCATAAAATTGGCTATTATTAATCCCATTACTATGCTTCACTTCTTCGCAATCGTCTTCGTTGTTGGCTGTGTAATTCTGCTCACCAAGACTTTTATCTATTGTACACAAACTTGTTGAAATGGTAGGGCTATCAAGTTGTGGAAGTTCAGCTAGTTGATTCTCAAAGTAATTTTGGCTTGAATTAATGATCATATTTTGATGATCATGAGATGGATTAAATGTAAATTGGTGGAAATTTGTTGTTTGGTTGAATGCATTGTTGAGAGGTTGATGCATTGGACTTGGGATTTCTGATAGTGAAGAAGAAGGTCTATAAGTGGTGTTTGCTCCTCTAATATAATAAGCATTTTGCCATGCTAAATCTAAACATGGTTGCTTGTTTGGAGTTGGCTTCTTGAATGCCCTGCATACTACCCATCCTTCTTCCTGTAAAATCAAATCCTCATTGAGTAAAAGTTATTTTTTTCGTCAGGTCACCTAAAACATAAGTCCGAGTAATTATCATAATAAGTGCAATTATTAACCTGAAAAATTAGAATTATAACTTGCTATAACATGTTAAATTACACTAATAGTATGCAAGTTTTTACAATGTGTAAAAGTATATAAGTTAAACCCATTTCAATTGTTATTAGCTTGCTAAAAAGGGAAAAAGAAAAAAATAATCATTTATATGTTAGTTTTGTTGATTTTCCTAAGTCCCTGTGGAGCTACATTTTTTAGGCGATTTACAGATATTATCTATTAATCCCTCCGTTCAAGTTTATTTGTTTACTATTAACTTGGCACACCCCTTAAAAACTAATAAATAATATAATAAGTTTACTATATTACCCCTATTTATTATATGTTGGAAAGTAAATCGGAAATAAGTATTAGTAGTACTTAATATGAAGAGTAAAATAGGTATAAAATTGTAATTATCGATCGGTTTTCTAAAATGGACAAGTAAAAGCGGACATCTATAATTAGTATAGTGGACCAGTAAACTCAGACTTAGGGAGCACTAATTTAGTATGTCAAATAAGGAAGTTTTCTTTAAAAGTCTAAAATGCCAGTTTTTGTATGGCTTCACATGATTTATTAACAGCGAGCAGGAGTGGAACAAGTTTATGAACTAAGTGGAGTTATCTACTTGTTTCCCACCAGGATTGACTTCGATTTTTGTTTTTTATTACGAAAAGCATGGTCAGTTACATGATTGCATCATTTCGTTCATTTCTTTCAGGACACCTTTGGAAGAAATAACCTACTATAAAGAAAATGTGGATGGCTTTATATTCATTTTCCAAGATGTAATTATGTTTATGTTGTCCAATAGCAAAAGATATTGGATATTTTTTCATGAAAAACATAGAAAGCTCTTTTAAAGATAGTTATGGTTCATACTCAACAAGATAATAAATACTCCTATGTACGTAATACTGATGGTATAAAAATATATTTATACAATCAGAGTAACTATAAATAAATTTTTACTATAAACATTTATACTAAACTTGAAAACAATGATAATGTAACAATATGCAATCATATATTGATAGTACCTGAGGAGGAGCATGTTCAGAGGATTGGAGCCTGTATTCATGCATAATCCAATCACTTTTCCTTCCATTTGGAGCTCTTCCTTTATAGAAAACTAACGTCTTCCTCATCCCTATTATCTTCTCCTTTGATAACACAGCCTTATCTCTTCCTGTTGCCTTCCAAAATCCTGCTGTTGTGGCTCTATTTGTCCTCGTTCCTGTCGGATATTTCCTGTCCTTGTGACTGAAAAAATACCACTCATTTTGTTCTTCATATCCCAATTTACACCTACCTGCAATACGTGAGACAATTTTAAACAAAGAAAATATATAATTAGATTAAAAGTTCATGACAATGTGAAACATTCAAGATATATATATATATATATATATATATATATATTCTGCTTTTATATGACTTTTTGGTACTGTCCCTTCTTGTCTATATTTTCATTAATGTGGTGCTTATGCTTTCTTGAGTCGAGGGTCTATTGAAAATAATCTCTCTGTCCTCACAAGATAGAGATAAGGTCTGCATACACACTACCCTCCTCAGATCACATGCACGTTGTGGGATAATACTGAATATGTTGTTGTTGTATCCTTCTAGTCGAAGTGGTAAAGGAATTGCCACACTTATGTTTTTTACTAGTTTTTGTTTTTGAAGAAATTAAAAGAAAATGAACCAAAAAAGGCAAAAAAATTAATGAATTTACCTTCGATATCCCATGGTTCAATTCTGTAGAGATCAATATCAGTGATGACATCAAGGTCAATCTTGAGAGAGTTAATCTTTCTCTTGAGATAATATCCAACAAGTTCTTCCTCGGTTGGATGAAATCTAAATCCGGGAGGAACACATGAGTCCATCTCCATTTCTATCGATCTTCAAGTTAATTACTTTATTCTGGCTAAGGAAAAAAATAAATAAACATTAATCAGAAAGCAACTTTTATAAGAAATACAGACTATCATTTCAATAGTGTGAAGTTGAATATAACACATAAGAGTGAATGTTACACTTCATTGTCTTGTAGATTTCTCATCATTTACATCCATTCGTGAGCACAAGCCATGATCAAGAGGCATATGCTTTTGGTTTTTACTTGAGGTGGAGGGGATAATGGGTGGGGTTGAGCTTAACTTGATCTATATATGCACTGATAGATAAAAATAAATTTTTATTCATAATACCATTGTTGAAATTAATGACCTGAAAAATAAAGTAGGAATATTCTATAACAGGTTAAAATGCATTGCTAGTAAAGAACTTAATTAAACTATCGATGTATACTAGCTAAAAAAGCTAGTTACATGTTTTTTTTGGATCATTACTTAGTTTTTTTGTGGGTAGTTTACAAAGTGCACCACTAATGGGATCTAAGCAAAACAAGTATAAACATGAAAATCCACAAGAAATGAATAATGAGCCAATGGCCTATGTTGCATCTAATTGTAGTTATCATTTAGACAAGAGAAAATAGCAGCCGAAAACGTTGACTTCTTTTAGTGTTGTTTTTAAAACAAAATGAAAAAGATGTTCTATATTCCAAGATAAATATACAAGCAAAAAATGTGCATATAATTTCTTTGAGTGCATTCTACTCAATAACACATGATATCCCTTCAGAAAAAACCCTTTTCGCACCCCCCATTTGCGTCCAATCTCAATACCACTCTCATTTCGTGACCTGGGAGTTATAACATTCAAGAAAGATACTAACAAGGGTTGTACCGAAGTGATAAGTACACCTTTAATCTTAATCAAAATTCTCGGGTTCGAACTCTCGGTATGGAAATACCTTTATTATGGAGGTTTTACCCCAATAGGAGACTTTCCGACACAAATCCGAATTTAATCGGCCCCAATACATACTGGGTGAGAAACCCAAAAAACTATTCAAGAAAGATCAATCAATTGCCTTTTTGTCAAAGAGAAAGAAAAGCAAAGTAAGAATCTTGTAGGAATACTTTGCAAGACTTACGATTGGAGGAATTTGCAAATGTTGACTTAACTTTCATCTTCTATCATTAGTAACACATATAATATATCCATCTAAATGAGTTCATGCACATCAACAAAAGAACTAGAGAAAAAGAGAGAGAAGGAAACTAAATGAGGAACAAGAGGGAATGCCACGTTTGCAATACTAACCAGAAAATATAAACCCTTTAGCTGATTGCGAACAGAGAAATAGACAATAGAATGAGGAAATATAAGGGGAGAAATGAAACCCTTGAAAGAATAAGTGAAATGAAGTACTTGGGAGAAGAGGAGATCAAGACATAAGAATAGGAGAAAGGAGAGGGGCGAGAATAAAGTGGATAAATCAGGTGTTGGTTGAAATGTTGTTGTTGAGAAAGATATACAAATATATAGACAGAGACTTTAGCTAACTTTGCTAAGCCTAGTTAGCTAACTAGTTGTGTGTGTGATAAGCAGGTAGATACAAAAAGGAATGAAATTTATGATTTTGACAGAATGTTTTCCCGATTTGGTCATAAAGGAAAAGACTCACTTCCTCCTTTTCATTTTATATGGCAGCATTTAACTAACCATAAAATGAAAAACTATATTTTGTTACATATAAAAAGTATTAATTAAACATGTGATCTTAAAAATACTATGACAGTGTCATTGTAAAAGCATCTCATTAAGAATGAAATAAAAAATTAAAAATTAAAAAGATTTCAATAATAGGAAGCCATTGTTAGAATTATTAAGTCTATGCACTACTTATATATATAAATGATATTAATTAGATAATTACATATAAGATTTTTATCTTAAAAATTAAATTAATAACCTACTAAAAATAACTTAAATTCATAATTTATAGGACAAGCTAGATATTAAAATTTAATCTAAGAGGAGAATTTGTTAGGACCTAGGATGGGTGGTGGGGGTTATTGTTTGTTGATGATTACGCGTGGGGTTGGCAGATAGAAGAAAGGTTTATTTGGACGGCGTGACAACAAATTCTCACGCCACCGTTATATTAGGCTCTAAGATTTTCCACTATAAATCCCTTTTCCTTTATATTTTGAACAAAAATCTTTTTCTTGTCTATTTGTTAGGGGTGTACATAGGTCGGGTTGGTTCAGGATTTTGCAATTACCAAATTAAACTAATTGTGTCGGATTATTAAACCTAAAGACCTAACCAAACCAATAAAACTCAAGTTTTTCAATCTCGATTTTTTCGGGTTATTCGGGTATTTTCCGGTAAAATCTTCGTAGCACAAAACATATAACTTGTGCTCAAAATATTTCCTTAATCCTAGTAAGATACAACTATATAAGGTATTTTTCAAGAAAATAATACAAAATATGAGATGTGTCATGGCATTATCCTAAAATATTCAACAATAAAGACAATAAAAATATGTAATATAAATATTGGTAATTAAAAAGCCATAATAAAAATAAACATAATCTAAAAGTACTAAGTCATGCTAAAATAAGACTAATAAGGGAGTATTAATTACACGACTAAAGGCTAAAGAAAAAATAAAAATAGGTTATGCATTTTTATCTAAATTATTGCAAAACAAAAAATAGATATTTAATACATTGTCGTTCGTAGTATTGAATTGAATGTCTTTCGTAACCATTAGTATTGATTTGATTTTGGTTTAGGCTTTTGTTAGCATTATTTAAGTTACTAATAATAATGGCTATAAAACTTATTGGAACATTTAAAAGTTCTAAGTCCAACATTGAAATAATATCTTAAAAGATAAAATTATGAAAAAGTTTTAAAAATATTTATAAATTACATCACAATAAGTATATTTATATAGTAAATATATCTAAAAAAAATTATATATGTAATGTCGGATTGGTTTGGTCGGTTTGACTTTCTTTAGTTAAAACCAAACCAAACCAATTATGGTCGAATTTTTTTTTCCAACATCAAATCAAACCATAATCGGGGTTTTTTTCTCGGTTTGATTTGAATTATCGAATTAGTGCGGTTTGTCGGTTTCCTTTGTACACCCTTCTATTTGTCGCTCATTTCTTTAATGTGGTTTTACTAGTGCCCATAATTTTTTATTTGCTTATTTTAATTAACAAAGATAAAAATAACAATGACAATTTCACCATTAATTATAGGGAGAAAGGAAATTTTAGCATGAAGATAGAAATTGGTAGCGATATTGTATGTAGCCAAAACAGAAAAAAGAAAAAGAAAAAAAGAACAAGCAAATCTGTTTCGATTTTCGTGTTTAATTTCTCTTCCCATAGTCCAGCTTTTCTTTGTATGTTTGGTGCCCCGCCCTTACAGTTACACAATTGGCAACAACAGAACATCGACACCTGGAAGCCACGTGGATATCCATGTCGTCAATGCTGTCATTTGTGGTAAGCCATCACAGTTTGTAAGTAATGATTAGGGCTAGTTAAGCTTAATTTGGCCTCAATTTTCATGCATGTTATGTCATCTAAATTGAAGGATTAATTAAAAGGATGTTTAAGTGAAAATAGTTAGTGCACGTAAAATTGTAGTATGACACATTTGCTTGTTTCTTTCCAGTTTCAACGAAATAGAAAGCAATAGTTCACTCCACAAAATAAATTTAGTTAAACTTTTCTTCCAGCCAAAAAAGGACATCAAGTGTGAAAAAACACAGAAATAGAGTCACCTTTTATCACTTTTTTACTTATTTTAATGAACCTGTGATTCACACATATTTCTCAATTAAAAAGTGAGTTTTTTAAATCCTATTTTCATGGGTACCCTTTAGTTTGTAGGCCTTGAGTACAGTAAAAGAGAAGATCTCAAAAACTGGCAGTTTTAAAGAATAATAAAATAAGATCAGGTGAAATTTAGGCCACGCAAATAGAAAATTCAAGAAAGATTAATTAGAAAAAATTGTAAGCCAAGCATGGGAATAAATACCAAATCTAAGGAACATAGAACTTTATAAATTTTCTAAGGATCATATCTTCTAGATGCCCCTTTGCCTTCTGTTCAAGGTTTCTAGTGCGGGATGTATGCTTAGGTCTTTAAAATTATGAATCATTTATTAATTCTAATGAAAGAAAAATTTCGGAATTTTTAGTGGATAATTTAATTTAACTACCTTATTGAAAATGAAGGTTCCATAGCAGAACCGAAAGAGACAAAAGGAATGGACCCAAGTCTCCTACCAATGGATGTTAAGTACTATCAAACACAATCTAAGATTATTATCATTGCAATCTTATATGATATAACCGACCTCTCTTTTTTCTTTTAGACTTTTTCTTACCAACAAACCACAAATTAACTACTCCATCCTTAATAGGACCTTTCTCCTCTTACCTAGATTTTATTTTAATTAATAAAAGTATGGTGGATTATTATTAATCATGTCACCTTGAAAAGGACACATAATTAAATAGTGACAAAAATATACAAGTCACCATCGTGGGAATTAAGCAAATCTACTAAAAACAACTCACAAAATTTAAAATAAGAAATTTTCCCTTTCTTTTCGTTTATATATATATATATATATATATATATATATATATATATGGGTTGTCTTTAGTAGATTTGCTTAATTTGTTGTTTTATATACTACAATTTGAGGAAATTATGGGTCGAACATATTTATGGCATTCGAAGTCATAATGAATGACTATATGTGATAATGAAACATTTCAAAAATAAGATAATTAAGTGGACAGTGCATGGATTTCAAAAATGACAGCCGAGACATAGTAATGGAGTGGAAAAGCTTCTAGAGTAAAGAGAGAAGGGTAAAAATAAATTATTAGGAGAATGACTAGAAAATCAGAAACTAATAATATGCTTTTGCCTACCGAAAATAGATCAAAATCCAAATAAAGATGTCCCACGTAATTATGTTTAATTTTCCTGAAATCCATGGTATGTTCAAACCTTAAAACGCAAATATCTCCAACTATTGCCCCACTAAATATGATACTGTTAGTTGAATATCTCCCTCACACTGTGGACCTTCTGTTTATTTTACTCAGCATTATTCTACATTAAAATATGCTTCTTTGACCCTTTACTAGTTTGAGAGGTTCATATAAAATAAAGAGTGACATAATTTGGAGTCAAGAAGATGCTTCTCGTAACGACTTGCTGAAGATTAGCTATAGACTAATCATGGTTAAGATTTACAATTAATACCAAACATTAACTTTCTTAAGGAATTAAGAAAACATGAAATGAACAGTTAGAAAAGATTTTCGTACTCAATCTCTGTGCTTCGTAGGGTTTTCCCCAACAATGGATGTCATGTCATTTTTATGCGAGTTATGGTTTGTATTAAAACCTTTTTTGTTTTTTTTTAAAAAAAAGGTATGGAACCCCTTCCCACTCCCCACCCCCGAGGTTTACATCATAGAATGATACTTGATCAAGATAATATTTGATAACTTATGGGGAGATTTAATTTTGTAGTCTATTATAAATGTTATTTTAGTATTATGATTTTTTTTCGCAGGAGATTCGTAAAAATAAGACAAAAAATATCTGAAAAAGAACATATGAAATTTTTGTCCGATCATTCTGTTCTATTCAAATGTAAGCTAATACATGTTGAGGTTTTGTTTTTAAGATGAAATAGTCTTAAAATGAGGGTGAATGGGAAATGGAAGGAAAATGAAATTTTTGAGTAAAATTTTAAGTTTCTCCCTCTTGACAATGAGACATTATCCCATATTGGAAGAGGAAAAAAATTTTGGTGGGTATATATATAATTGCTCTTCTTGTAGCTCTTAAAGAGTTAAGAAGAAAGCAAGCATCGCGCCGTCGTCGTCGCTCGCTTCGGCTTCGGAGTGTGAATTGGAGTCAAGAAGATGCTTCTCGTAACGACCCTGGGGTTTGAAGTACTTACTGTTTCATTACGATAACTTATATTTTGCAGAATTATTATTTACAAATACAGCAATATTGGCGGGACTAACAATACATACGATAACTTCCTCTAGAATTATGGAAGGTGATGAAGTAATTAAATTAGTGGTCGTAGAACCATTTGATTTTTCTTTAAAGTTGTAATCCTAAAATAGGGCAACAAAAGTTTCTGAAGCTGGAACACAAGTAGATTGTGTGTTTCCTATGTGTTTTTTGTTTCATAAATGTCAAAAGAAGGAGCAATCACTTATATGACTATGACTTATCAAAGGCATGAGAACCTTATATAAAGCTCCTATTTAGTTGAAGTGTATTGGTGTGAACGCTTCTCCAGCCGCCAATTCCCAAAAATAAAATGATAACTGTAATCAATTACAAATATAATTATTGTTAATAATGACATGATTTTCGCGACATGTTTTATGGGTCATTCTTAAGCTTTAGTTGTT